GCCAAAACCATCTAGATAACAAAATGATTCCCTTAAAATGTAAAAATAAAATGCCGAATTCAGCCGAAGTGTAGAGGTTATCAATAAATGGTGAAAGATGTATTTTAATTCTCCATATATTGAAATGTAAAATACATAGCGCTTTATATTCAGTCTAACCGCAGATCCTCTGTTTGCTTGTGTGCGTTGACAGCTCAGTCTTGTCCGGTCCAATATGGCGGCGGCGGTGACGTGCACGTCGTGTGCGCGCGCGCGTGTGTGTTTGTGTGCACATGTGTTTGTGTTTGTGTGGTCAGCTGACAGCGTCACAACACCGTGTGTGTGTGTGTGTGTTGCTCTCCAGAGAGGTTAGCTTAGCATAGCTTAGTTTAGCTTAGCTTAGCCTCTCGTAGCCTCGCAGCTCCCAGCCGCAGCTCTGCCCTCGGACCGGGGCTGGGCGGTTATGTTTGCCGGAGACAGGACCGTACGCGGAGGCTTGCGCACCACCGACCCATGGCGGCCGAAATCCAGCCCCAGCCGCAGGCTCGGAAGCCGTGTCTGCTGAGCAAGATCGAGGCTTTCCAGGAGGTCGTGAGCACGGCGGTCATCATCCCCAAAGAAGACGGCGTGATCAGCGTGTCCGAGGACAGGTAACGTCCCCGATTCACACCCGCTCCTCCCGCCGGTCCCTGGCTCACCTCGCGCCCGCTCTGAGCCCATAATTCATTGCTTATTCTAACGGAACCGGGTTCTCCAGAATATCCGCGGAAGAGTCAGGTGACAGTCATTGAACGGCACTTAACGACGGTTTGTGCTTTAAAGGTCCAGTGTGTGAGATTTAGGCGAAAGGGAATTTAATGTAGAATAATCCTCACGATGTTTTCACGAGTTCGTCGATCGTAAATTGTATGAATTGTAGTTTTATGTACCTCAGAACAGACCCTTTATATTTAAATACTTTATATTTAAATACTTTATATTTACATGGAGGGGACCCTCTCTATGGAGGCCGCCATGTTTTTTTACATTAGTCCAGACTGGACAAACTAAACACCTTTTGAGTTTTTATAACAACTGAAGCTTCCACAGTTTCTCTCTCATGTTTGAGAGGAGAGGGGGAGGTGAGGGGTAGATATCACTAAATTCTACACACTACCTTTACTTAACTTGCTGTTATTATTTAATTTGGCTGTAGGCTAGTCAAGCTAGCTAAACATGAAGCCATTCAAATTTTCTGTTTGTTGCTCGTTTGACATGTTTGGATGTTTCTGTCAAACAGGACAGATATTTCCACAGTGGACTGGTTTGTTAGTTAACCTGTTAACTAACTAGCCTAACTAGTCTTGTGTCTACTCTCATTCTACTTGTTATTCCAACCTGTGTGTTTAGCGATTAAAATTTGACTCCCACACATCAAGTAAGAAAAATCCATATGAGTTGAGTCCTGGTATTCAGTCTCTCGTATGTCGTATATCACATCTGATTGTGGTCAGAGCTGAAGACGCATTGAGGACGCATTTGGCTGCGTTTACACGTTTACTCAGAGCTGTCCACCGGAGATCAGATCGTTCAGGACAGACGTTAATACTAAGTCTGAATGAGGTCAATGGTCCATGACCCTGATCCAGTTCTATTTACTACCTCTGAGCGACCTTAATGTTTATCTCCTTTCAGACATAAGTATACATACAATGAGTTGTGAGAAAAATCAGGTTGGACCTAGCCAGTGGTAGTTGTACAAACTGGGCTTTGTCCCACAGTGCACTGCTAAAACCTTCTGGTTTCTGTCCACAGGGCTATTCGAGTATGGCTGAAGAGAGACAGTGGTCAGTACTGGCCCAGTGTCTACCACACAATGCCATGTAAGTATTCATGCCTCATACTTTGTGTTTGACTGATGGTTCTCAGGGTGGACATTCTGTAAATACAGTAAGTCGGAAGACATGTGAGTGTGTGATTCTGAGTCAGCAAAGTTGTCCAAGTAACAGAAACGTCTTGGAATAGGTTGTTAATTCCTGTTTTTGAATGTGTTTCCTCATTGTGACAAAGATAAATGAATCCATCTCTCAGACTGACATGAAGACGTTTGCCTCCATATTAGAGCTCCTGCAGAATCTTTTGCGACACCGTCCGTCCTTTTGTTCCTCCCGTTGTGCAACTGAAGGAAATCCTATGCTACCATCAGCAAGATCAGATCTTTATGCAGCCCAGGCTGTATTCAGCATGTTTCACATTTTAGTTTACTGATAGAGACAAACTGAAATGGGTGAAAGAAAACTTGTTAATCAGTATTTTCAGGATTTAAAAAAAGTCCTTTTAGTTTGTGAAATGATATGAAGGATTTAAAATGTGATGAAATATATAAATAAAGTTTATATATATACACACACTCACACGCACAGAGAATGATTTAGATGTTTTTGTTTCATGTTATTTTCGTGCTGGAAACTGAGATGAAGTCAAATTGCAAAGACTTTTGTCCCACAAACCTCAGCCAACACATCCAGGATATTACGACAGCACTCTGTCATTCCTGAATGTTCAAAGGTCAAAATAAATATCTATAATCCTTTCATTTTGGGTTCATTATCCCACATAACCTTTGAAAAGCAAAAAATAACTTTTGCTCCTTGTGTGAGAGGGACACATTGTGTTTTGCTTTTAAAAATAAATGGTATTTATTCTAACTGATTGGGGACTGCTTTTGTTGTTCTTGAGATAAAGAACCTTCATTTGGCCAAATACAGATTTTGATCTGAAGCTGCTGACATGCTGCTCTTTTTTTAAATGTGGAAATTACATACGAAAAATAAACAAGAATAAGTTTCTGTAGAGTAAATGTTTCTTTTTAATTAATCAAATTGACAAGATGCAGGAATAAAACAGAAAATGCTACAAAATAAGATGCCCAACAGCACATACAATCAAATTCGTTTTATTTTTATAGACCATAATCATTGTTGACTGCGGATTAAAACTGATTTGTGTACTAAGCAATTAGCCCAGAGGCTGGAGGGCGTGGACAGAATAATAGAGGCACCTGTATATGACCAGTGTGAAGCTGTGAATGTTGATGATTTAGAGACGATTGTTCACCCCTGTTGTTGATTTGAAGCCTCGGAGCATATTGAATATTAATCCTAAATGCACAACAACGCTCCTTTTAATCCTGATGGACATAATGTAATGTTATGTTATGGGTTTACAGCAGATTTCATCAGACAGGAAAAAAACACAGCAAGCTCCAATGATTCACATTTAGTCAGAGCTCATGAAGCACATGCACCACTCTGATAAATCTGGCGAAAAATAATATATCCTGACTCACATCCTTAACCACTGTGTGTCATTATACTCAGATCAACCACCACATTAAAACAGGCTGCAAGTTTTAATATTGAAACTGAGTGTTGTGTATTATTTGTTATGGGTAGTTTAAATACATCAATATTGGCTTCCAAAAACTTGTAAGGACAGTTATGCTGGAGTGACATTGAATTTACTGTTACATATTCCCCAAAGAAACATATACATACATGCAGACTGTTCACTGATGTCTTTATTGGTCTTTGTGTCTCCAGCGTCATGCTCCTGTATGTCCTTTAACCCAGAAACCAGGAGGCTGTCGGTGGGGATGGACACCGGGAGTATCTGTGTAAGTTCCACCAGCAACCTGGTTTCTCTCTCACCCTTTTCTTCGTTTCCTCATCAGCTGTGGTCTGTTCCCGCTCTTCTTGCTGTCTTCAGGTTACTGGACATGTCAGCGGTGTACGTTGTATTTTTGACATGAAGCTCTTTTGATATTTCACATCTTCCTTTTGACTCATGAAACGGAGAGCAGTTGTCATTGTGTGAATTTTTGGGCGAAATGTCAGCAGCTTTTTCTGAGCAGCAGGAATGTTTCTGGTGAGGGTGTGTATTCAGTTGGAATGAGTGTTTCGTCAAGTCACTCTGACCTCAAAAGCTCTGAAATGTCATATTTTCTCCTGAAGCTGCGTAGTTGTGCTCTAACCATCTTAGTACTAACCCCAGACAGACTTGATGTTGACTTGATCTGTGGTCAGATATTAAATCTTTATAATCATAATACAGCTGAGGACGATGGGAGTGTTTTTTAGTTTTGCTGGTACTTTACAAACCAAAATATTGTGTAGAAATCAAATATTGTCTGAAAATGTAGAGAGATGAAAAATCTGGAGCAAGGTGGAGGAGCAACTCACCAGCAGATCAATATCACCAGTCGTAGATCTGCAGCGTTGGTGCTGGTAATAACAGTCCAACCAATCACAAATTTGTTTTAAAGAGATTAAAAGACTAAAATTACAAATGTTTCAAAGTCATTTCACCCCAGTGGTCTGTTTGAACCCATTTCCATCGATTTCCTGAGAAATCTAAACGGCAGATTCATTCATTAACAAAATTCTTGCTTCCCAGAGGAAAGAACCCTTCTACATTTAATTAGATTTCATTAAGGTCCAACTCATTCACTTCAAATCCCCAAAACCAGCAGAAGTAAGCATTATGATGTAATGGACAATGTAGTGGTCCTGACTCTATAGAGACTGGTCCTCTTGTTTGTTTTAAGAAGTTTATTCTATGTCAAACACACCTGACATGATGTGATGCAGGCAAGTCTATTCTAAGAGACAGACTTTTTAAGAGACAGACTTTTCTACTGTCCAGCTTTTGTTTTTTGTGTCTTTGACCATCTCCCTGCGTGACTTGTTTGGTTTGTCAATGTTTTGTTGCGCGTGGTGTCTTCAGAGGAAATCTCTTCTGGGTTTTACTGCCCCTTTACACAGGCCTGCAGTTATTTTTTCATTCAGTCATTTGCAGTTACACTCGGTGAAGCTGGAAAGTATTTCTTAGTATGGAAGCTCTACAGCATTTAAAGGAACATTAAGACTTTTCCAAGGGCTTATAGATTATCTTTAATATGCAACACTACAGTTTACAAAATAAGGATTGACAGAGAATCTCGACAAATCTCGTTTTGTGGGTTTATTTTAAAACACCGGAAAGAAATATTCAAGTTTAATCACAGCGACATTGTTTGTTTTCCCCATTCATTCATTTCCTCCAAACCTTTTGACCACTGACAGTGTGAACTTTCATCTTCCCTTCCTGTCTTTCAGGAATTCATCCTGTCAGAGGACTACAACAAGATCACCCCTGCACGCACCTACCAGGGTGAGGGAGGAAGTGTGTGTGTGTGTGTGTGTCCGTGAGTGTCTGTGAGTGTGTGAGTCAGTAAATATGAATAGAACCAAGAAGACGCCATTGTTAGTTTGTTTTGAGTCCTGAAAACTTTATCTTATTCTATTACTGTTTTTAACATTGTCACAGTCGTATGACTTCAGTTTTAAACTTTGATAACTTAAAGTAAAACCCTAGACTGTATATAAAGATGGAAGACACGTACTATCCAGAAATATAGTCAGTCAAACTATCCTGGATACTAATGCTGCCTTCTTTCGCATTTGGAGTCCCGCCGATACAAGCGCTGTCAATCATGATGTTTCACCTTGTTTTTATCGCTTTAATAACTAATCAAAATTAAAGTTACTGGAAAGTTGCAGGAGGCAGGAGACAAAAAGTCTTGAATCTTGTCATCCTTCCAAGTTAACATCTTTGCTTCTTATACGTGTATGTCACCTCTTTTCCAGCCTGGGATATTTGTATTATTATTATTATTACGTCATCAACATGCACATCAATGGCCAGTAAAACTGACTCTGACAATTGTGTTATCACAGACAGCTCCTCCGGATAATTTCCGACTTCAGTGCAGGTTAAAACGCAGCTATTCTTTCATACGTGGGTGTTTTTCTGTGAAACTGTAAGATCTCAGAATGTCTCGACAGCAGTGCCGAACAACTTCCTCTTCACAAACAGATGTTTCTGTAAAGGAGGAGGTGGTGCTGCACCACCTTCCTGCTTCTAAAATAGGTTAGATGTGAATTCTGTTCACTTCTAAATATGCAGCTTGAACACTGTTTTAAAATAGTTGGCGTCAACCTGCCCAGGATTTCTGGGAGGAGAAATTGTTTGTGGAAATGGATCTCATGTGTAGTATTTGTGTTTTTTTGTGTATGTGCAGCGCACCAGGGCAGAGTGACGGTGGTGCTGTTTGTGTTGGAGATGGAGTGGCTCCTGAGCACCGGCCAGGACAAAAACTTCACCTGGCACTGCTCGGAGAGCGGGCAGCAGCTGGGGACATACCGCACGACCGCCTGGGTTTCTGGACTACAGTATCCTTTAATACCCACATTCCCAGCTTCCCCTCCTGCTCTGTTTGTGTTGGTTTGCAGACTCAGTGAAGTGGGAAGTGACGAGCCATCTTTGGTTCTTTTGGACTCTGAGAAACCTTTTCATTATGACAACACCGTCTATTTTAAGGCCATAGCCACATAAAACAGGAGGATCGAGATTAGCTTCCAGTTAGTTCATACTGCTGGGAAGAGCTAACAATAGGCATCAGTCATGCTGTTGTCAAGGAAACGGGCCGAGTTGCTTTCTGTAATGGCCAGATGAAAGGCTGCGAGTCCTCCGCAGCTACACGGATCCATACCAATGAGCCTGCCATTAGGTCAGCGCACTGCTAGCCTCAATATGCTAACCTGTCTGCTCTGCTTAGCGAGAAACCCAGTGGGAGACGGTGTCAGTGTTTGTAGTGACTGCAGACTGATGCTGGGGGTCCTCTCTGATCTGATTCTGTTTGATGAGCAGGCACGTAGAACTCAACCCAAAACTACTGAGCAAATATTGAAAGTCTTTTTTAAACAATACATCGGAAGGTTTTCATGTGAGAGAGGTCACATAGATTCATTTATTTTATTGCTAAATGTATTCAGACAGTAAATTGACTTGTAGAATACAAGTATACGTCAAGATAATTCTTTGTTAGTCCCACTATGGGATTGAACAGTCAAACGAAGTTACACCTAAGAGGATTTGTAGATTTATAGCTTGTGATCTTGTAGTTTTCAGTCGTACGAAGCTGGTTCACTTCTTGCTGGAGTAAATCCCCATGGCAACTCATAAAGTCAGGTTTTAAAACAGTTTCTAACATAAGGAGGAAGAGTTTTTCATAATATATAAATACTTCACAATTATTAAAGCTAAGAGACAATCAAATTAAATCCAGTATTTGGATTTGTATTGTTTTAGATTGTTTAGAATAATGAGGGTTTTCTTTGTGCAGTGGTTGTTGTGCTCTTCTACAGTGTGGTCAGTGATTTTGGTCTGTAGTGACTTAACCAGGTCAGGAGACGAGTGAATGTCCAGTGAGAGAGTCATCCACTCACCCACTGTAATTCTCTCATTGCTACGCTAACACTACACGGTAAATTTGAATACCTCATGTTAGTTGAAGGTTGTTGAGCACAGCTGCTCTTTGGAAACTAGAGTGATGTCGATCAGTTGGTAAAACTCTGAACTGAAGCATCAGTCGTCTCTCTAGCGGGACAGGTTCTTCGTCTTTGACCTTAATGTTCACTCAGGTTCGACGTGGAGACCAGACACGCCTTCGTAGGGGACCAGTCCGGTCAGGTGACCATCCTGAAGCTGGAGCAGGACAGCTGCAGCCTGGTCACCACCTTCAAGGGACACACTGGTACACGACACAATTAACCAATAATCAATCCATCAGTTTGCTATATCTCATAGAACTGAATTTCTTAGAGTTTTGAACTGTTGATCGGACAAAACAAGCGATTGAATGTTTAGATTTTCTGACATGTTGTAGACTAAACAATCAAATTATTGATCATAACACATTTAACTCACTGATCCATCATGAAAATAATGTTCTCCTGTGTTTTTTAATACATGTTTGTGTGTTTGTGCGTTTGCGCCCCCTAGGTAATGTGACGGCACTGAGCTGGGACCCGGTCCAGAGGGTGCTGTTCTCTGGCAGCTCCGACCACTCCATCATCATGTGGGACATCGGAGGGCGAAAAGGAACGGCCATTGAACTGCAAGGACACAAGTAAGAATCACCACCAACTCTCAAGATGTTATTATTTATTATGTAGATCAGTTGATTCATTTATTGATGGAGAAGATAATCTGTAAACAGAAATATAACAGGTCCACACTTGGACATGGATCACTGCTCTGACATTTATGTAAGAATGAAATGATCAAAGATCAACGTATGATTTAGATATCAGATTTATGTTTGGGGGTGTGTGAGTGAAGCTCGTGTTTACCCCCTTTACTATTGAGTAATTAAAATTTGATGTGGCTGTCGTGTCGCAGAAGGCAGCGTTTAAATTCTTGAATTTGAACTATCTACAGCGACAAGGTTCAGGGATTGTGCTACGCCTCACACACTCGTCAGCTCATCTCCTGCAGCTCAGATGGAGGCATCGTCATCTGGAACATGGACGTAACGAGACAAGAGGTGATGGAGTGTAACATCCACCCAACACACAGACACTTATTCATAATCAATGAACTGCTGCGTGTTTCCACTGTGGTTCAGATCTTTGTGGGAGGACAGACTGCTCATGTTTACTTCCCCTCCTGCTCCGAAATGAATTCTCTGAAGAAACAAACGTCTCCTCTCCCTCTCCGCTCTGCCATTCTCCACACACTTAGTTACGACTTGATTGCTTCTTCATTTACCCAGAGTCACTTTCATTCTGCCTCTGTGTCATTTTGCTCTGTTATTCGGCCCAAATTCTCATCTCAATTTTATTTTCTGACTCATTGGTTCTGTTGCAGCTCAGATCCCCCGAGGCGAGCTTTAAAATAAAAGCAGTCGGTTGCTGTTGTTCCCCAAACGGTCACTTTGGCTAAACGTTGCTCTGTGCAGCTTTGTTATGCAGGGAAGGAGGTTAAATAGCAAAATCGTTAGAGCTTTGTGATTTAGAGAGTGGAAGAGGTGAAACTGAAGGTAGCTGAATTCCTCATGGGGAGCAGGGCGGTTTGCTGTTTTCATTTTCTTTAAATTCTCTTTTATTGTCTGAAACTGAAGCATGATGAACAAAAAAATCTCATGTCCCTTTGTCAAGAAATAGTTTTGCCTCCCCTCTTTATTCTGACTCCCATCCGGAAAACCAAAGAGCCATATCTTAGTTTTCCTTCAATCACTTTTCCACCCAACAACTTAAAATCTCAATTAGAAGTTTGACGTCAGTGCGCTTCGATAGTTCATTCTAATTTCTATCCAGGTCTAAACATTTTTGGTGGATTTAAGTGTCTGTTACGTTCCCCGAGTTACGTCCAGGGGATGAGGGGAGTCACAATATATAAATAACCCAGGGAAATAGAATCATGGGCAACTTATGAATGAGCAAACAGAGTAATTTATTAATAACGAACTGAAAACAACTTTCTAAAAAGGAAAGCGACACCAGCCAACGGCAACAATTAAACTCAACACCACAACCAAAAATAAACTAAGTGGTCACGTTGCCAACACCAGCACACACGAAGGAGATCATCAAATTCAACACCAACACTCTGGCCGTCTGCTTCTCTCTGCCTCTGAACCACCGTGGCCTTGATTGGTGATTGAGCTCAGCCTTACACACTCACACTGTCGACTGGAGAGAGAGCAGAGAGAAAACACAACACGTAACAGTTTGTTCTACATATTGAATATTATTCCATAGTTTGGAAAAGGAAAATCTAATAACGGGACACATCTATAATTTAAGAAATGTGTGTTTGTGTGTGTCGCAGACTCCGGAGTGGCTCGACAGTGACTCGTGTCAGAAGTGTGAGCAGCCTTTCTTCTGGAACTTCAAACAGATGTGGGACAGTAAGAAGATCGGCCTACGACAGGTACTACACACACACACACACACACACACACACACACTAGTTTTATTTAAGTCATTTCATTTCTATATAAAACGAGAGTGGCTCCCAGGAGAGCTCATATCTCCGCTAATGCTCAACAATCCCCTGAAGTTCCGTCAAGCTGCACCAAATTCTAATTCTTTGTCCAGATTCACACAAAGATGTCACAGGGTCTTTCTTGACCCATCTCACGATTCATGGAATCCGTTTACAAACCAACCAATGTACAGAGGCGGAAACATAACGTTCTTGTTGAAGGTTTAAAAAAAAAAAACATAGTTATTGAGACTCAGATACGAAAATACCATCACTGCTCTAATGTCAGTTACTCGTCTGACACAGATGCACTGGTTCTGCAGCTGTTAACAACTTTCCTGCAAACGCACACAACTTTTCACTTGTGTTACAGTAATAACATCCTGTGTCAGTTTTATTACCTCATTCACAGGAACAGCTTTACGTTGTGGTTTCTTGTGTTCGTGTCTGTGTTCGTGTTCATGGATTCCATTTTTCAACTGCACAGCCATTTTCAGGGAACGTTCTGTTGCAGATTGATGTCTGTGTCTCTACAGATCAGGTTTCACAAACACACGCCATCGTTGCACATGCAGAAGCCTCAGTATTACTGAAGACAAACACTGAGCAGCTCATACTGTTGACGGTGACTCTGTGAGAACGGAGGAGCTTTCTGTTTCTACAAACATGATCATAAAAACACAAACAGAATTATTACAGGAGCATTCCAGGGATGGTTCAGCGGTCACATGATGTGGACTTCAGCCAGACTGACTCATGACTCCGACATGAACTTTCACCCTCTGACTTGTTGTCATGTCCAAGACCATAGAGCTGCTCAGTAAATCAAACTCTCTCTCTGCTGTTGGTCTGATTCATGTTGTGTGTGATCACAATCAGATGTTTGTGATTATAGTAACTAGAATAACTTGTCACTTTGATTTTAAATGTAGGACACATTTTAAAAGTTGATTTATTATAATAATTTAAAGTTATCTCGGACTCACACAAAGTTAAGGACTTGGGCTTAACTCTGGGACTCCACAGAAACCCATGATCGGACCTGGTATTTGCATCCATCCTGAGTGAGCTGATCTGATGAGGACACATTTGAGATCAGATCACTCAGACCACATGAGGAGGAGGTCTGGGACGCATGTGACCTTTTAGATCTGTGAACACAAACGGCCCGCCTACTCAGCTGACATCCTCCAGTTTCATAATAAACCAAAAATTGTTGTTTTACACGTCATTGAGCCGATAGACTTATTTGAGGCCACTGCTCCAATATTTACATCCACATCCCAAATCTCTTTTGTTTATATCCGCACGCCAGCGACAGCCAGCGGCCAGAGGTGTCATGGTTTGTTATTGTCCGACCGTCCGTCTCATTCTTTGAGGAGTTTCTTCAAATTTGTGAAAAAACATTCAGGTTCAAGTCCCCCTGTGTTTCTCAGCATCACTGTAGGAAGTGTGGCCAAGCCGTGTGCGGCAAGTGTTCGTCCAAACGCTCCACCATCCCCCTCATGGGCTTCGAGTTCGAGGTGCGTGTGTGTGACAGCTGCCACGAGTCCATCACCGACGAGGAGTGAGTAACAATCGGCCTCTGTCGTCGTCATGTACTGAGCCTTTGTAGCTTCCTCAGCGCTCACTCAGTGAAGTAACCGCCGCCCTCTTTGTGTGTTTCAGCCGAGCGCCCACAGCCACCTTCCACGACAGCAAGCACAGCATTGTTTACATGCACTATGAGCCCACCACTGGAAATCTGCTCACCTCTGGCACTGACAAGGTTATCAAGGTCCGGGAACAAACCGTTGTATTTACGAGTCTCAGATGAGACAAAGCAAGTGCAAACTAATCAGGCTGAGTTTTAACTCGACCCAGACGGTTTGGTTTTTCATCCTTTATTTATTTATTTCTTCTTTTGTATGCTGAAGGCTTGATGGACCTCCCCCTTCACACCAGGCCTGTGCACCGTGTATGAATGTTTGACTTTCCTCAGCCCTGTGAGGCCTCTGGGGACTTCGGGCCCTGAGACAGTTGCTCACTTTTCCTGGCAGGTTAATCCAGCCTTGAGCACATCACGTCAAAAACCTGACAAATATGCGTCTCCGCCTCCTCCAACCATCCAATCGTCATTTTTCATCCACAAATGAAGCCAAAATATCCTGGAAATATATAAACTGTGCCATCGTGCGCCAAGGACGTCATTCGGAGCCAGACTCCGTGGTGTAGTGATCGCATGAAGGAGCCAAGGTACCGAAGTCCCACCAATAAATTAGACCTTGAGGCCTCGGCTGCTCCTCCACAGACCCCGACTCCAACTAACGTCCTTGGCACAAGATGGCAGCGTTTGCATCCGGGATATTTTGGCTTCATTTCTGAATAGTGGGAGGAAGTGGCGACGCTTTGTCCATCACTGTTTATTGTCTGTGATCTAAACAAACACATGCAGCTTCGTCTCTGCTTGAATAGAGAAACTGACGTCTTTTGTTTTGTCTGCAGCTGTGGGACATGACTCCTGTGGTGTCCTGAGGTCTGCGCACACGCGGCAGCAGTCAGCGGGAAACCTCTGTTCACCAGACTGTGAGTGCTTAACGGAAACATCTGCACTCGGAGGAGAAAGAGATCGGCGTATTCAACAGTATCGACGTCATCCAGATAATGTTTAACAGTTACTCAACAACAACGTGTTCAGAGTGAGGACGCTGCAGGGAGCGGTGGAGTCTGGGATCAGCACAGGCCTCAGCTCACATACAGTTGTGGGTGTTTGTTTTGTGTGTCTGTGTGTTTGTCTGTGCTGTCTGAGTGTGTATGTGTGTGTGTGTGTGTGTGTGTGTGTGGGAATGAGATGTTTGACTTTGTGAGCAGTTGACACACTTTATTTGCTTAGTTTTCATGCATTCCTTTCCACGTCTCATGCTGGAAAACTTACCATACAAGTTTCTGCACCGCGGTCAGCGTTTCCCCCTCGAACCAAACCCGACGTGTGAAGCTCTTCGTGGAACTGGACCCCAACTCAATGACAGATTCAATCCCACGTTTAGCCGGCGGCTGATTCTCCTCAAGGGGGAGCTGTGTGATCATTGTCAAACCTCGTTAACGCTCAGCACCCTGCACCGCCCACAGGAAAGCAAAGTAACAGCAGCAGTGAAGACTTGCAAACCGTGTCCTCTTCATGCAAATGTTAAGTTTTAGTGAAGTAATTCCATTTAACAATTGTTTACACTTCTAAACACTTGTGTTTATCACACAAACATATTTTTTCGTGGTTTAGATTGAAATTAAAAAACCTGTAAACAAACGGACACAAGCATCAACACTGCAGGAGCTGTTTCCTTCCTTGCCTGTAGATGGTGCTACTGAGAATAATGACAGTATACGAGGTTAGCTCACGACGACGGACGCTGACAGGATTTCGGACGATGTCGTGGTTGTCTGTTAGGTTCTGTCATCTGTAAATTATTGAATCAAAACGCTTCTTGATCTCTGATCGCTGATTATCTCTCTTTTGCGATTATTTATTATTTCAAGCTTAAATATTTCTAACATCCAAACGCACATATCGTCAAAAACCAATCAGAGGCAGCACTTAAATACTTTACATGTGAAAAGACTGACAGGAAACTCGTGAACATGGTTTACTCTCGTTTTGTTCTCATCATTACTGTTTTTCTTTTGTCACTTTATTTACTGTAAATTAATTGTTATGTCAATGCACTGGAATCAAGAGGTAAAATGTTATAAACCAATGCTGTGAAGATGAAATATTCCTTTTTAAATCACTTTTGTGCTTTAATGGTCAGATGGTAATTAAGTTGAATTAACTCCGCTTAATTTTTGTTTCCAAAGATGTTTGAAAATAAGGTTTGTGTCCGATGACTTCGAAGTATTTTCTCCAACAAGAGAGGAAAGAGAAAAGGTTGTTGAGTGTTTGATAGCTCCGCATGAAGGTACATTTACAGCAGCTATTAAACTCGTCAATGTGAGCCTGAGGTTTTCTGAGGTTCCAGCTCCTAAACTACAAGTGTAATTTGCTTCCAGTGTTTTCTAATGCACCATAAACGTCTGTTGATAATCGTTGCTGCCTGGTAATAATGTCCCAACTGCTTGTTCTGAAAAGGAAAAACCAGTGATCATGTTCCAGTTTCTGTGATTTAAAGCAGAATCACTGGTGTTTTCATTAAACCCAGAAAACTACAGACACGAAATAATGAAATAAAAAAATCCCTAACTTCTGCTGCAGTCGAAAGAAACTGATCTGAGGCCAGTTGTGATCATTAATGTAACTGTGTGTATGAATAATATATTAAAAGAGCAGGTATTTACCGACTCGACTGAACTGTGTCTTGTCGGATGAGTATTTTTCCTTTTCCTTTTACACGTCTAGTTTCCTCTGCAATGTTTATGTGGTTTTAATTCTAAATTGATTCTCAAATATTTATTTACCAATCTGAAAAACTGTCCACATGAACAGCCAACCACTACTTGTTATTTTAGGGACTAGTATTCCATTACTACACTTAATTTTCACAATTAACTAAATGACACAATAGTGACTTTACATTAGTTCATTTATAAAGCAGCTGTCACACACAGAGGCAGATTCAATGTGCTAAAGGTGTTAATCTAATATAAATCAGAAAAGCTGCTAAATCTGGAGGCAGCTGAGAAATTACAGAAAAAAATAACTCAAAGTTTTGACAGATGGAGGAACAGCAGAGACGTCTCTGAGTCCAGGGGCTGAATCTGTACAAGTTGTATCTTGTCCATGATCGACTTGTGAAAGAATGAAAGACATTTATTACAATAGTTTAATGAAATTTCACGATATGTTGCACAGAAATTGTTAAATGCATTTACATTTAGTGTTATACATTCACAGGAAAGCTTCCCTGATACTCGGCACGGAGCATTTTACATGAAGTGCTGATCATGATAAAATATCTGTTCTTTAAGTTATTGGTCAAACAACGGTATAAATGTGTCTTGTACGTTGAAACAAAACAAATATGTAAACATTTGTAATTAGAGACGAGTGCTTGGTTTTAAAAAGATATTTGTGTATTTGCAGAGAAACTATGGTTTAAACTTGAGGGCGAACTCCTCCAGCGCCGCCTGAAGCTTCTCCTCCTCCTGCGGCGTCGACCTGGAGGACGCCAGAGGCAGGTGTGTCGCCACCGCTTTACGATCTGGACAAAATTTAATGGAGGAAAATCAGAGACAAAAAAACCCAAAATACTAAGATTCAATGATTCATGAAAGAATCACAACGAGACGCTTCGCCCTCTGAAAACAGACGCCACACAGCTAACGGGAAAACAACAGTCACTGAAGTGCTTTGTTTCTGACCCTGGAAGAAGAGTCCGCTCGGCTGTTTGACGGCAGCGGCAGACGCAGCGAGCCACACCACGGTGTCGGCCCCCATGGCCTCCGTCCTCAGCTTGGACTGCATCTTGGCGTGGAAGGACGGCATGGACGTCTGGACGGCTACGGAGAGAAAACAATTCAAAAATCCTTCACAAACTAAAACGGAGCTCAAGGGTGACGCCCTTTCTGTGATGGATCCAGATGTCCTCTTCTTTGGGTCCACTCCCCACCCCTCCACCAAATATGGAAAGTGTTTTGCAAACATAACCGTAGTGGGTAGGTAGCTCGTTCTGTACCTGGTGTGTCGGCCCAGCCCGGGTGCATGGAGGAGAAGTGGATCTCTTTGTGTTGAGCGGCCCATCTCTCCGTCAGAATCACCTGCTGCCTCTGTCGCAGCGAAAACATGAAACACAGATTCAACAAACACGGACACGCACCACGGTGACAGAACAGCTGCCGTCAATCCGTCTCCTTTACTTTGTTCTGAGCGTAGACCGTGGTGCCGTCAAACGTCCCCTTCTCACACTGCAGGTCGTCAACGTTCATCTTCTGCGTGAGCATCCCGCCGGACGACACCGTCACCTGTGAGGGGACGAGAGCAGACGATCATCTTTGACTCAACGATGTGAGTCTGGTTCTGAATACGAACGTCTGACATGAACTGTACCGCAACATTTTGGACATTTTACCTCCGCCAAGGACGTTATGTGTTCACCCCTGTCCGCTTCTAAACATGACGCAAAAACTACGGAATGAAATTTCCTCGAAACTCGGGGGAAGGATGGAACTTAAACCGAGAGAGAGGTGGATCCAGGATCTATTTTCTTTAACAACATACGGTGTTTTCTCTTTTCTCCGACGACTGGTTGTTAAGATCCAAATAAAAATCTAGATCAAGTGAATTTCAAATGTTTCACTCAGTCGGACCTTGGCGGAGGCATGAGCTCTCATCTCCAGAGGAAATTCAACCAACCACTCTTGGATCTTGGACCTTCTTCAGCGCAGGTATCAGCGCTGTGGTGAGGATGTATGTACCTGGAAATAAAGCCAGAGGTCAGAGGTCGGTAACATTTAACTGCTGCAGCTGAGAATCTAAAGTTACAGATCATCGATCAGAAGCTCGCTACCGAGTGTGTTGGTGGCAAAGTTCTTCTCCAGACCCTCGTCAGTCTGCTCCCTCTGGTTGACCATGCAGCCTGCGTTGTTGATCTGGTGAACACGACACGTGAGGAACATTTTACTACAGAAGACGGACGCGCGTCTCACAGATGATGTTTGACGGATTTACACACCAGCACGTGCACGGCGTCGTTCTGGGAGAAGTTCTGGGCAAACTCCCAAACTTGTCTCGCGCTGGACATGTCGACGACGTGGACGTGGACGTTCTGTGAATAAAACAAGAAAAAAAAAAAAGAAATAACTCATTGAAGAATAGTGGCCTCCTCTGGATGATCTGTTCACACGTCCCATATTTCTCACCTGGTTTTTACTCCGTTCAACGATCTCCTCTTTGGCTGCGTCTGCTCGGCCCTTGTTTCGACAAACCATGTGAACGATTCCGCCTGAACGCACGAAAAAAAACACAAATACATCACGAGACGAACCGGCAGGAAGTTCTCCCGGGAGCTGAGACTCTGGGAAACTCTCACCTCTGTTGGCGATTTCCTGTGCGGTGGCTTTTCCTATCCCACTGTTGGCCCCCGTTATCACGAAGGACCTCCCGCTCAGGTTCACGTCCAGGTCGGCCGGAACAAAGTGCTTCGCTGCCGCTTCATAGCCGCTCCTGTCGGGAGCAAAGAGCAGGACCCTGAACGCACCACGTACTTACATGTACACAGGGGCCCCAGTGTTCCCACATGATCCGAGGTCGACACTGAGGTGGAGTCACGTCGATCACACTTCACACTTCGTACTGCAGAGTAGTACTGTGTGGTAATCACGACTAGTTAAACAGTAACTGTGTTACTCAACAGAGTAGTTATACCTTCAGAGTACTGTCAGGATTACTACTACAGGGGACAAGTACATGTTGCATAAACACGACAAGAGAGAGACAGACAGAGAGAGAGACAGACAGACAGATAGACAGGGAGACAGGGAGACAGATAGACAGAGAGACAGACAGAGAGAGAGAGAGACAGACAGACAGACAGAAAGATAGATAGAGAGACAGAGAGACAGACAGAGAGAGAGACAGACA